TCGTCTGGTCACCCTCTTACAAAATTTAAATGGCATAATGATAGTGCGATACATTCCTGTTAGTAAAGCTCATTCAATTCACTCACCATTACTCCTATACTACACTACTGATGGCCTAAGTAGGATCTATTCGATTTTCTTGGAGTCTTTAGGTTGATTTTTACCTAAGTACATTTCTTTAGAAAAGCAAACATTTTAGGTTTGAATTTACACAATTTTAGATTAAAAGCAATGTACTCGTGGGCAAATCGGCTTTAAATAGTATATTAAGATACAAGTGTATAAGCATGCGCACCGGGTAAAGTGATCACTTTATCTACACTTACGGTTAGAGGGTGCCTACCCATTCAAATCTATTAAAATGCAATTTTAAATCCACAGGTAGCTCAATAATACATAAACTTATCTCACCTTGCGGAAAGTTAGTTCTTTATTTCCCCTTATAATCTGAAAATCAAAACCGGATGCCCTGGTTTCATCACTCTCAAATAAAATTGGATTGTTTGAATTTATAAGTATTAAAAAATTAACATTTTTTAGTTAATTTAACAAAACACAAGTGTATTTTGTGGAAAGCAGTAAAAATGTGTAGTGTTTGGGTAAAAATTGCGCAACTGTTTAAAAAACATGTTTTAAATACTCTTTTTTTTGCTATTAATAAGCTGCTTATGTGTCTTTCTGACTTAACAATAAATGTCAACCCTTAAAGATTAATAAACTCAAAAAACCCTCTAAAATTGCTCCAATTAGGATCAGGATCTGCAGGGAAAACTTCACTCGCGCACTTTTCAACTTTAATTCACTCACACACACTTTAAAAATTCCTGAAAATTAAAAAAAGACATTTTGACAAAGAAAATTCTATAATTTACCCACCCTCTGTTAATATACTGATCAAAAGGTTGTTGGGTTCATTTAAGTATTTAAAAAATTGTAGTGTTTGCATAAAAATTGCGCAACTGTTTATAAAACATGTTTGAAATATCTTTTTTTTTGCTATTAATAAGCCGCTTTTATGTGTCCTTTTAACTTACGCAATAAATGTAAACCCTTAAACATTAATAAACTCAAAACACCCTCACCAATTGCTCCAATTAGGCTCAGGATCTGCAGGGAACACTTCACTCGCGCACTTTTCAACTTTAATTCACTCACACACATTTCTGAAAATTAAAAAATGTCTTTTTGACAAAGAAATTCTAGAATTTACCCACCCTCTGTTAATATACTGATCAAAGGGATGTTGGGTTCACTTAATGAAAATAATATCGTTTCAACTTGACTTTTCTTTACATTGTTTCGTCATTTAAAATATTGATGAAATAAAATTTAACCCACACAAAAATCAATTAACTTGAAGTTCCACTTCACAATTAGGAGAAGAAATCACCAAACCCTTTTGTTTGGGTGCGCTTATGCCAATTTTCCCTTAGGGTTTTAACAGCTAACAAAAGCACTAATTAATATGATAAAAGAGCAGGGGTGGACCTTCTACTCCTGAATTTCGCCCTCGCGGCAGTGTATTTTTCGTGGCTAGCTAAAACAAAACAAATAAAGACTGTTATTATTATTATTATGGTCCGTAGTGTTTCTTGCGAGAACTGAGGTCTAACCTGGTTAACTAATCGCACGGATTAAATCAAGTATCGATTAGTGTTTGCCTGTAGGTAAAAAAACCACACATTAACAAAATATAGGAATAGTATGTAATTATTCATACTTACCAAAATAGCTATTGATGGCCACAATAGCCAACGCTATAAATAAAATATTGTTATTATAGTCTCTAAACTTTTCCACTGGTTTCCGGTAAATCGAGATTCTTATTATCGCCCGGTATAAATTAGATAGGCGTACAAATTTAGTTAAGAAACCTTTTTTGTTATCGTAACTAACCACTCCAAATATAAACGCAATGAACGTTCTGTACTTTGGACCACAACGGTTTCGTGGCAAAATTTAATAAATCGATGTCGTTGCATTTCCGCGGTGGGCATCACATGAGGGGAGAGAGCAAAGTAACGCGCGTGGCGATTCACTTTATCGTTTCTAACTCAAAGACGGTAATAGTTAGAGCAATGCTTGAAGCGGCTATTTACAGCTACTTATATTGCCTACAAAAAATGTCCTAGGGATAGAAGTCGTACTTCTAACCGTTTTGTTACAAATATATTATTTCGGAATATATCCAAATCCACTGGAAATAATATTTGCCACGTACTTCTTGTATCTAGACAATTTTAATAGTGTCGTGCCAAAAAAAAGGCAGTGTATAACCTTCCTTTTTTACCAAAAATCGACTGCGCCAAAATTTCTCGGGAAAAATACTTTTTCTAATTAATTTTGGTGCGTAGAATCCAAAACGATTAGTACTTTTTCGATTAGACGTCTCAATCAAAAGTTGTGGGCAAAAAACGAATTTCGACAAAAAATTCAAAGGGCTGTAACTTTTGATCTAGTAGCCCGATCTTGGAACTGTTTGAAATTATGGATTCTACAGGCCACATTCTATAAGAAAATATTTTTTTCCGGTCGATCTGAGACAATTTTTTTTTCGTGCCAAAAAAAAGCAGTGTGTAACCTTCATTTTTTACCAAAAATCGACTGCACCAAAATTTCTCGGGAAAAAACTTTTTCTAATTAATTTTGGTGCGTAGAATCCAAAACGATTAGTACTTTTTCGATTAGACGTCTCAATCAAAAGTTGTGGGCAAGAAACGAATTTCGACAAAAAATTCAAAGGGCTGTAACTTTTGATCTAGTAGCCCGATTTTGGAACTGTTGGAAATTATGGATTCTACAGGCCACATTCTATAAGAAAATATTTTTTTCCGGTCGATCTGACACAATTTTTTTTCGTACCAAAAAAAAGGCAGTGTATAACCTTCTTTTTTTTACCAAAAATCGACTGCACCAAAAAAAAAGCAGAGTCTCTAGATGCGCTTTACACTAGAAAAAGACGCATTTATTTGGAAACAATATATTGTGCGGTACAGCAAATCTCATGAGAATGGAATTGAAAAATGTCTTTGAGGTCTCCTTGAAAGTATAAATGTATTCCCTGAAACTTTCTTGTTCTATAACATATATAATGATCAATTTTCTAAAATTTGGAAGGCGGTAGTACCAGCCGCTTCGCCTATGCTTAGGCCCGAGCTCCTCTAGCAATTTATGCGACCACTATTAAAGGGATTGATCATTTTGCATAACGTCGATTCTTTAGGAAATGATAGAGTGAGTTTTAAACGAACAATTGAATAACCTTCGGTTGCAACCCTCTGGGTTTAAAAATAGAGAAAAACAATAAGAAACTCCCATCGCTAAGGGGCATCGTTTCAGAACTGGTCAAGCAAAATGTTATGGAAACAATTCTCGCCAACCATAAGATTTCCTTGGGGAAGCGCGACGTGTGGTTTAACGTTACAACGTGGGAGAATGAAAGTTAAATTACGTAGCGGTTACCTACTAGCATAACGCCGTTAATTAATCCGTAATAGAATTTTAAAAGCGTGGGTATAACAATGCGGCGATAGTAATCACACAGGAAAATAAGACAAATATCGAGTTTTTTCGTGTGGAATCGCCTTTAGTTGAAATTAATTTCTCCGGAGAGGGCGTTGGGACGCCGCCGCCCTCGGTGAACAGATCGTGTACTCGTTCGAAGAGGGTGAATACGCCCGTATAATGTTATTTATTATTAACAATGTTGTTACTTCCTAACAGTTGCTCAAAACAATCTAATTAATCAGCGAATTTGCGGATTATCCTTAACGATCATGTAAAAACGTGATTTCATCTACATCAAGTGTGCTGTGATTTTTCGTTCAGTTTTGTTTATAGATATATTTTATAAAATCCGAAAAATTAATAATTAATGCTCAAGAATCAAGGTATTGGTTATAAATATAATCTAATAATAACGTCTAGATATTTTGTGTTTGGTACATTTTCTCTAGAATAGAAGGCTGTACTCAGCTTGTTTTTATTTATTGTTTTTCAATAACAACTTAAGACTTGTCTCATTATTATTCAGAAGATTTGGGCTTACGTTTCTTTCAATGAATTTTTTACGCTGTTAGCATTTGATTGCTAGATACTGTGTTTAATAAAAATGTTGCAGAAGGAGTTGTTTATTGCATTTTGTTGCTGTGCTGTTTGTCATTACCTTTAATTATAATTTTCGCTGCTGTAACTAATACGAATATAATTTTTCAGATATCTAACCTAATCAAATAAACTAAAACTAAAACTGGGAACCTCAAAGGACTGTTAAATAGTTGTAAATTGTTAAACAATCACAATAATTTTATAAAACTGCTTGTTAAAGATTGACTACCTACTAATATTAACATACTTAGCGTAGATTGTATGTTATATCAAGTTGTTACTGTTATTGCTACAACCACCTAAGGGCACGTGTTGAAGCTGCATTAATAAATCAGAACAAAGATGAACTGCTCATTAACTAACAAACGGTAAGTAACCCATTTTTCTATTATAGTTAACTGAACGAGTTCACCTAATCTCAAACGGTTTACGCCCAATTTTTCAAAAAGTGAACAAAAACAAAACAGAGTCGATTGTGCGACAACGGCGCTTGATCGTGGGCGACCGGGACGTGAACTTGCCACGCCCGCAATCCCGGGAACGATCCGCCGATCTACCCACACAAAAATTTTCAAATACCTAAAACATTTTGCGCCCTTTCTCAACACATCCTTTTAGCTGCAAGGATCTCGCGGACTTCCTCTACGCCATTAACGCAAACGATGCGAAACCATAGCGTCGCACCCACCAAGTAAACGATCAAATGAAAAGGAAAAATTTACATTTCGCTTTGGGGGAATTTATAAAATAATCGGAGTAAATCTAATTATCTTCGTTTATATACATGAATGTATATTAAGGAAAAGTTAGAAGCTTTTAATGATGAGCGACGCTTGCGTCGACGCTGGCGCCGTCATACGGCGAGCTTTCGAATTTCAGTCTGACCCGAACAATCGCGTTCGCAGCAGGTGCAATTATTAGTGATAAAAATCATAGATAAGCGATTGCAGTTATTGTTTTACTATATCTGTACATATCTGTGTAACCTATAGTGCCAAATAATTAACCAATTAATCACCCATCATTAACAGAGCAAACACAAATCGCGTAGACGTATACCTCTCCCAAATTAATGTTTAAGTAACTAACAGTGCCAAATATTTAAACAATTTCTTATAAATCATTTTTTAAAGTCGTATTGTTGTACATATATTTGAAGTTGAGTGTAGTTAATAAGTGATGGGAGCAAAAGGGAGCGTGGAAGCTGCTAAAATCAATGCACAAAACTGGAATAATCTCGAGGTGAGATTAGAGGGTTGTTTCGAAGTATATCGGCGTTTTCTCATTTTGACTAATTAATCTCCTCCACATTTGCTACATGTAGGGCTTCGCGAACATAAATAATTCAAATCTGCCGGGACGGTTCACACCCATCGTACGTGGAAACTTTTAAATTCGATCCTTAGGAAACTGTATAAGAGACGCTGATGCTTATTACTGCATTGCTGTAGAGATTCTTTGCCAAAAAAAAAACTGTCGAATTTTATTATCTCCTCCGAAGAATCGAGCTGAATGACGCCATCAATTATGAGAAAATCATTTTTTGGTCCAAGGGACGCGAATGTAAACAACTCGCTGATGTAGGCGCATTTTAATCAAATTCATTTCCTTTTTTCGTCGCGAATACTTTGGTATTGGAAAGAGGCAGATAATCCGTAATTCGATTATATTTTGAGCGAGTTGGGAAAATCCATTTCTTTTTGTTATCTTGTTTTTTTGCCGGTTGTCAATGTGCACGACGTGAGCAGATATATGTTGCGAGACGTTTTGGTGCAGCGGATTTTGACCTAACATTTTTACATCTTACCATGCGTACACAAATCAATAATATAGGGATGGAGAGCGACTAGGTATCTTTTGGCACAATTTCAACATTTTCAAACATGGCAAAGTCACTATGCCGCTCCATTTACGGTTCTAAAGCAGGGGTGTGGGGCATATGTGGGGGAGATTCTAATTACTTCATAATCGCATTTTCTATGCTTAACTTGTAAGACATACACTTCGAAACAGATTCTTAAATTGATTTTACCAATGATATCATGTGATTTTCAGTTTACTCCTGCTTAATTTCAAACGTTATAGTTCATTGCCGGTATAAATGTACAATTTAATAAAAAAAAGAAACAGAAATATTTGGGCTTCAGTCCAAATCGTAGACTAATTACTACATCCTGCTCTATCACTGCCTATTCAGTTTTATACGCGAAACTGACTTTGACGTGTGGTCTATGAATCAGATGCCAACGTTACAAAATGCTTTATAGAGCAAATTAACAGTGACTCGGCAGTATAAACAATACTCTTTTACATTGAAAAAAAGACCTAATTTGGGTTCAAATGATGAATGTTTCCAATAGTTTCCTTATTTCCAACGAAACACTGCGTATGTGTATTAAATAATTTACAAAAAATTATAGATACAACAGAAATACGAAAATAAATTTAATCCTTTGTGTCTCGTGGATGCTTTGACTAGGTACTGGAGAGTCAATACAGTCAAATTAGACGTAAAAATTCTAAATGGTTACAAAAGGTCCCGTAGATTTTATTTTATTTTTCCGATATTATGTGTTATTAGTATCTTTAATTTTATATTCCATTTGGTTTTCTCGCATCTATAGTTTAGGAGGTATATCAAATTAAAGTTTCGTCTTTTTGTCAATTTTTTTTTAAACATAGTGTAGTACGTTGTTAGAAATTTATAAAAAGAACTGGGCCGTACTTATAAAACTGCCTTGTCAGTCATTTCACCAGTTCAGTTCAAGTTCAGTGGTCAGTATCCATTTTTTGCACTTGTGCAGGTATTTTGCTGTGATATTGTTGTTCATTATGTGTATGTTGTATATAGGAAGAAACTTGGACAAGGTGGTTTTTTTTATCAAAATAAGAAAGATTGCAATTCTAACAAAAAAAAACAATATTCATTTGCTGATGACTCTAAGATTTGGGCTTTTTTGACGTTTGTGTTTTGTAGTTTTAAAAAAAAAATACCTACTTAATTACTCTTTGGTTTTACTTTAAATAAATTAGTATAACCAATTTAGAGTATTTTGAACAAATAATAATATAAAGGGAACGAAATACATTTCAATTGAATTCAGCCTTTTTTGGTGAATATTATATGCCAGTGTCAGAAAATCTATATACTTCTGGTTAAGGGTTAAAAAAGTGAGATAAAAGTAAGATGATTTAGTTACTAAATTAAAACGGAATGACGTAAAAAGAGCAAGCTATGCGAAATTCATTAAAAAAAACGATTTCTGCTCATTTTAGAGTTCACATACAAAATGTTCATTTTTGACTCAATTCGAGCTATAAAATGATGAAACTTTTACTCGAAAAATACTGAAACTAGACCTCTAGGCTAAAATAATGGAAATGCAATAACTTGAGTGATAAATTAGCTTCTTTTTATGATTTTCGCAATTCAAGACAAAAAATTTACCTCCTTTTGGTAATAAAGTTTCCTATCCACCAGCAAACACTAAGTATATGACTGGAAACTTTTAAAATTGGACGCCGTGCAAATGTGTATGAATTTCTTCCTTCATTTTTAATACATCTTGTGTCGCATTCTGCTAAAGAAACAAGGAAGATAATCCTAGCTGCAATAGCCAGATGTAAACTTTCTGTTTGCAAGGAAATAAAACCAAAGTGCGCATCTTTGTATATGACGGAATAACAGCGACACAAAATTAGACTGATAGCACTCGAGAAAATTGGCTGAAAACAGTCCATTATTAATACTTATCAGTCACCTTTGCAACTTCGTTTGTGCAACCAAAGCATGAAGCATGAAAACTGCAATACATTCAATTAAATCGTATTAAGAACGTATCACGAAAAAAATGAAAATCCATTTCGCGAATATCTAACACGTTACGCGCTATTTGAAATTGATCACGATGTTTTTAATAATTTGAATTATGTCCAGGAGCCCGATATGTGAAAGCCCCGGTACAAGCAGATTCTTTAAAAGGAAGATACAGTGTGGACGTGTGGTGCAAATGAAAGGAATAAATTCATTATTTCTTAAATCTGGGACTCGTCGATTTTATATTTAAAAATTATCACATTGCGTAAACATTTAATCCATGAAATTATAATACCCTCATTTGAAGTTACCTTCAACCATATCAATAATCAAATTGGTGGTTCCCAAATAGAACTGATCTGTATAACTGCAGCAAGGTGGTTCGCCTCCACACTATGCAGTCTTGATGAAAAACTACTTGGACGAGGTTTTCCAAGTGGGTGGATTGGGCGAAGAGGAACAATCGAATGTTCATCCAGATCGCCAGATCTCACTTTTCATGATTTTTTCACCAAGACCGCAGTGTGAGGGCGCACCATCTTGCTACAGCGACAGATCACTTATATTTGGGAACAACCGATCGATTTTATTAATATGATTAAATAGAGGATTAAAATACCTTTCAAATGATGTATCACCCTCATTCTAAGAGTATTCAATTTAGAGATGCAATTTTTAAACTTTATAATGAAATTTTAAAATATAAACGCGACTGGTCTCCGGGTTTTTTCCTGCAGTCACGGAGTTAGTTAAAAAGTAAAGAACTTCCTTTCATTTGTACCATAATGTATAATATGAAAACGATATAGGAAATTTTATAGGAAAAACACATTCTTGGTACTATACACGTTGCAATCACACGATAGATAATAAGCTCTGATTTCTAAATTGACACCAACTGCGAACTGTGAAAATATGTAAGATTGCTTGAACATCGAAACTTCAGGTTTATTGGGGGACACGTTACGATATAAAAAATACTTCCCTACACCATGATTATAAAGAATTAAGATTAAGTTCCTACAAAATACACTAGTCAACTTTTAGAATACAGAGGAAAGCATCTTCTGGTTGTTGGAGTCACTTCGTCACTTTGTAATTGGGGGAGTGTGAATAATTAATTAACTTGTCAAGCATTTCTGACTTAGTGTGTAGGCTTCACACTCCCCCAATTACAAAATGACGAATTTCAAGATTAAGTTTAACATGCTGGCTACTCCAACAACCAGAACATGCTAGCAGCGAAACATTAATCAAAACGCAACAAACTGCTTGTTTTAGCTCTCAGATGTCTATTAGTTTTTAAGTTTTTGTAAGTAGTTGTTGCTTTCCTCTGTATTATAAAAGTTGACTAGTGTATTTTGTAGGAACTTAATTTTAATTCTTATAATCATCTTCGAAAAATACAAATACATAGATTTCCAGATACAGCGGCAAAACTGTAAAAAGTGGGAAATGAAGTCGATTTGCTGCAAGGCAGACAACAGGGAATTCAGATTCAACGCCCAATAAAATATGTATAATTTTCGCAGTTTTCTTACTGAAAATCCACTCAACTTGACCACGTCACTGGGTTCCATATCACCCTCATTTTAGAAAAGCGAATTGAGTGTGACAAATATTATGCCGTATTGTACTAAAAAAAACTTTAATTGCTCACTCGCTTTGACCTTACTTACAGTCTACTTGTAATCTACTCTACTTACAAATTAACCTACTTAGCTATTTATTGGGTGAAAATGCGGTGCCTGCAGTTATTGTGTATTTTCGTAACATATGGCACCACAGGTCACAAGTCTATGCTTTTCATGTCAGTTAAAGAAACTCGAATGCCAAAATTCCTTTTCAGTAAACAAATCTTTAAAAAAATATATAGACGTGTCTCAAAGGTGAATTAAAAAAAGCCAAACCGAACCGACCCAAAGAATTCTCTATTTCGTTCCTTTAGATCAAAGTAGCAAAATGGTATCAACAAAACGTAACGTTTGTCAGTATCAAGTATGTTTACCAAAAGAAAGAAACCATGTAGGCTGTAAAATACTCATTTTATTCGAAAAATGATAAAGAAGAAGCATAAACACGACATGAGCAAATACAGGGTGGGCCAGAATGGACTCCCTGCTTTGACGGGTGTATTCTAATATATCTACATTAAGAAACAAGTTGCATAAGCGGCGCGTTTATCGCACGAGTTCAAGTTTAGCAACACCACACATTAAACCCAATGGACTCGTATGGATTTACTTAGATGCGGGTTTTCAATAGTGATTATCTTGTCTATTAAAAATTCATCAGTCTAGTGGTATTGCTAAAATGTTGGAGCTTCCTTCCTAAGAAATTAATGACAAAACTCGCAACTTCTAGGTAAATCGACAGGCTTTAAAATTTGGTACATATATAGTTTGTATTTGTAGCGTTCTAACAT